GGGAACAAGCACTTGTCTTTGTCTCCCATTCCCCATGTTACACTTATGCAGAGTTTAAGCATTCACCACAGAGAGAGACCCATCACCATTAGCTTCATTGTCTTTGAATGTGAGGAGCAGAAATATCTCTAACGGGAGACACTGATCAAACTTATGAACCATTTTGATGTCAGCTGAGCATGCTGGGTGGATGATAAGCAGGGTGGAAGCTGGGGAGTCCATGGTGTTGGGACAGAGATATTCAATAGAAGCCAATGGAATGGCTGTCAGCAGGGCTCATAATTATTTGCCTGCCTTTCAGGTGAACTTCAGACAAAAAGTTGTTAGCTGGTGGTTGCTAGTTGATTGTCTAGAGACTGCTTGATGATAGCCACTGTTTGTATAAGTTGACAGGTTTTTCAGAGAACTCTAAGAATGGCCTAGCCCTATCTTATGCAGCTAATTAACTTCCCCTTGTCAAAATGCAGAAAAGAGCTCTGGTAGTACAGTGGTTAAAGCACTCAGCTGTGAACCAAAAGTTCAGCTGTTCAAACTCACTAGCTGCTCTGTGGGAGAAAGATGTGGCAGTCTGCTTCTGTAAAGATTACAGCCTTAGAAACCCTATGGGGCAGTTCTACTCTGTCCTATAGAGTCACTATGAGTTGGAATTGACTTGATAGCAATAGGTTTAGTTGTTTTCTTTTTTGTCAAAATGCAATGGATGTTTTTTTTTTTTTGTTGTTGTTGTTTAACAGTTATTTCTTCAAAAGTCCATGATATATTGGGCCTTCCTGTAAAAACCTTCGTATGTGCAAAAAGGGCATAGGCGTGGCAACTTCTGACCTGTAACTTCACAAGAGGAAGACAGAATCTCCATCAGCAGCCCAAGGCTTATTCTTATGAGGCCAGACATGCCATCACCCTCCAGCCTTTTACCAATTCTGACACCAACCTTCCCTCCTATGGCACTCACTACTTCTCTGTTGGGTTCAATAACTTGTTGCAATGGCCACACAGAACTCACAGACAATACTCACGATTATGGGGTTTATTAAGGAAGTAACAGGCTACAATTCAGGTTCAGGAATGTGCTCAGGATACAAGGATCAAAAGATACAATTCTTTGATCAGGACAGCCTCCCCTCTGCTATGCCCTCAAACATGCCTCTCTGGCCCTTGGCCTGTCAGCCTGGCTGCTGCATGATGCAAGTTTTATAAAGCTGTTTTAGCTCTGCCAATAGTGAGGTACACCTCACTCTCCCAGCAAGCTTCCTACTCAAGGGCACTCAGCTGCCTTGCTCTGTGGGCCAGGTAAGCCTGCTGCTCTGTCTCCTGCCTCTTGATTCCACTGCAACCGTCTCTCTGCTGGGGCATCTCTCTCTGTCAGAGTATCTCTCTCTCTCTGCTGGGCAATCTCTCTGCCAGGCATCTCTGCCAAGGAGGTCCAGTGCAAGGATCTCGGGTCCAAGGATGCACTCTACTTCACCTCCAGCTCTTCTCTCTTGATGGCAGTGAGATTCCCTTTCTGCCACTAGGAAGGCTCATTTTAAGCCTAGGAATGTGACAAAACTAACCAATCCCAACATCAGAGTTCTACACACCTTATTCGCATGGTCTCATCCAGTAACCTGGTGGGAGTTACAAAGACTATGGCTAGAAAAGCCATACCAAGTAATTCACTGCACCACAGTATGCTTGAGCTGAAGTCCTTTTCCCTAGCTTCAGAAGAAGTGATAAAGCTGGTTCCAAGGGAACTCAACCCCTCTGACAGGCTCTTGGCATCTTCCCCAGTCCTTATGCATCCCTGGCTAAGCCCCTTCCCCATTCCTCTTCTGGGTTCAGCATAGATCTACTTGTCTCCCTCATTACTCCCAAATTCCTGCAGGTGTGGAGCTGTGATTGAAAAAGAAAGGGGCCAATGTTAACAGTTTATCTGGAATAGAGAGTTTGAGGTGCAAACATGTATGTATTTTTTCTTTCTTCTCATCTTAAAGCTTAGATTAAATTGGAAAGCAAGCTAGTTGCCAAAGCCAGAATTGACCCAGAGGTCACGGATGGAATAAGTCTTGACTATATAAGCATCTAGGAGTTCCTGGATGGAGCAAATGGCTAAGTGGTCAGCTACTAACAGAAAGCTTGGTAGTTTGAATATTCCCAGAGGCGCCTCAGGAGAAAGTTCTGGTGATTGACTTCCAAAAGATCACCAAACAAAACCAAACTCACTGCCATTGAGTTGATTCTGACTCATAGTGACCTACATTGGGTTACCAAGGCTGTAAATCTCCACGGAAGTAGATTACCTTATCTGCCTTCCACACAGTGGTTGGTGGGTTTGAACCACTCATCTTCTGGTTAGCAGCCAAATGCCTTATCAACTCCACCACTAAAGTTCCTTCCAAAAGATCACAGCCATTGAAAACTCTATTGACCACAGTTCTACTCTGATGTACATGGCATCACCATGAGTTGGAACTGACTTGATGACAACTAGTGTGGAAACATCTAGTTCTAGCTTGTTCAGAAGTCGTGGAGGTTGGTATGCATAGAGCATACACTCTCAGCTGCAGCCAGCTGACCTCTTGAGCTTTGAAAGGTCTAGCCTGAATCTCTTCAAATTTCTGAACCATTGCTCTCCCCTTGGTAGTCCCACAAAAATACCCTTCAGGTTAATGACTCACTTGTGAGCTATGAGTTGGCTGTCAGATTACATCATTAAAAGATACAGCCAGGTGGTTGCCAAGAGTTACTTTCTAAGGTAGTAAACCAAACCAAACCAAACCAAACCCATTGCTATTGAGTCAATTCCAACTCACAGAGACCCTGTAGGACCAGAGCTGAACTGCCCCAAAGGATTTCTTTACAGAAGCAGATGTTTCGTTTTATTTCCCCTGTAGAGTATTTGCTGCATTTGAATCACCAGACATTTGGTTAGCATCTGAATGTTTTAACCACTATGCAACCAGAGCTCCCCTCTAAGGTAATAGAGGTAATTAAAAAAAAAAAAAAAAAAAATGTTAATTGTTCTGGAATCCTCTTGAGGAAGTTCAAAGAGTACATAAGAATAATAGGATCTTTCCAATCTGTCACTTAAAAATATGCAGCAACACTGAAGTGTGAGCCTGAATATCTTAAAGAAACATCAAATATTTTGAAATATCTTTTCTATAAGTAGTAAACAGGAAAACTTTTATTTAAAAAATTTGTACAATAGCTTTGAACTCATGCATTGTTCAGTTTCTGATGAGTGACTAGTTTGTTTCTACCTTTTTTCATATTAATTAAATAATTTCCTAGGTGAATACTGGACAGCAATTTGCATGATATATTTTCAATGTAACCCACACCCTTGATGGGTTACTTTTTCTTATTGGGAGGAATTGGACTAGGGTTGGGCCAATGGGGAGGAAAATGAGTAAGTAGAAGGAAAGGGAAAATAACATTTACTGAAGAACTACCATGTGCCAAGGAGTTGGTTCACATGACTCATTTAATACTTGGTACAGGACTGCAAAGTAGGCTATTTTTATTTTATAGATGAGGAAACTGAGACTTAAGTATGTCTAGCAAGTGGTAGAGTTGAAACACAAACCTAGAACTCTCATTGCTTCTTTCTTTTCTTTTTTTATATTTCTTTCTTTCTTTTTTTTTTTTTTTGGTGAAAGTTTACCCAACAACTTAGTTGACAATTTTTACACAAATTGTTCAGTGACATTACATTTTTCGTACCCTCTTTCATTGCTTTCTGGTTGTTCTGTTTCCAGCACTCTAGTTTCCCTGCCCCCTTTTCTTTTCATTTTTGCTTCAGATTAATTGTTGATCATTTGGTCTCATACGATGTTTTCTTTTTCTTTCTTTCTTTTTTTAATTTGAGCATTGTACTCATGAGTGATATCCTTTATTTTGTGTGCCAATCTGTTATTTCAGTGAAAGGTGACCTCAGGGTATAGTTTTAATTTAAGGTTTAAAGTGTGTTTCAGGACAATAGTCTTAGGGCATCCTCTACTTTCAAGTGGTCCAGTAAATCTGGACTTTTAAGAATTTGAGTTCTATTCTCCACTTTACTCCTGATCTATTAGTGTCCATCTATTGTGACCCTGATTAGAATGGTTGGTAATGATAGCTGGGCACCATCTAGTTCTTCAGGTCTAAGGGTAGATGAAATGCTTCTTTATTTTTTTTTTCCCTTACATATTGTTATTGTTGTTAGGTGCCATTGAATTGGTTCCAACTCATAGCAATCCTATGTGGGAGAGGAGAACTGCCCCAAAGGGTTTTCTAGCCTGCACTCCTTATGGAAACAGATTGCCAGGTCTTCCTCCTGTGGAGCCACTGGGTGGGTCTGAACTGCCTATCTTCTGATTAGCAGCCAAGTGCTTCTATACATAGAAATAGTAATGATTTCATTACATACAGGCAGTAATAATTTCCTTTAAGATTCCTGAAGAATGAAGGATTTTCCTTTAGGTAAAGGCTGCTGACATAGTTGTTTAGTCCAATAGGTAGAGCTATGCCTAACTGCTATACATAGTACCACCTGTGAAAACACGGCACGCTTGTCTCTTAGCACTCTCTTGGAGGTAGTGGTAGTTCAGTGGTAGAATTCTCATCTTTCATGTGGGAGACTTGGCTTTAATTCCTGACCAGTGTACCTCGTGAACAGCCACTACCCATTTGCCACTGGTTACTTTCATGTTACCATGATGCTAAGCAAGTTTCCGTGGTGTTTTCAGACCAAGGCAGATTAAGAGCAAAGGCCTGGTGATCTACTTTCAAAAATCAATGAAAGTTCCATGCATTACAAAGGTTTCATCTACAACTGATCAGGAGGGTGGCACAGGACCAGGCAGTGTTTTGTTCCATTGTGCTTGGGGTAGCCATGAGTCAGGGGCCCCTCAACGGGCAACTAACAACAACAGCAAGCACTCTCTCAAGGAGCCAATTTCTGTCATTCCAGTTGTCCAAATGCTCATTTTCCAACTTGTAATTGATATTGAACTTATTTTCATTTACAGCCATTTTCCAATTTCACCGGCTCCATGGATAGCCACGGGACCTGCCAGTGCTCTGTTCTTGTGCCAGATGCCACCTTTCCAGTGGAGAGAGTGGAGAAGTTGGAATTCATAGCTCACATACTCTCTGAGAAGTTCCAGCAAGAGCTTTCTAAAGTAAGCATTTTCTTTTTTTCTCTTCAAACATTATCTTGATAAAAACAAACAAACAGAACAAAACACCACCACCCTCACCCCCTCCTGGACTTTATAAGCAGCCACTCCTCACTGGTATCAAAGGCAGCACATTTGTATTGTATGGAGCCTTCAGCATTTATTTTACAGTACCTCGGTCGTGTTCTTCATAGCTGGGAAAAGTAGAACACAGGAAGAAAATGGGATCAAGACGATTCAAGCCATGGATAAGCTCACATCAGCATTGCAGTGCTCATGCCATTTAAAAAGAGCCTCAGATTCTCTCTGCAAACCTCAACTCTGCATTTTTGTTTGTTTGTTTGTGTTGTTTCTTTTTGTCTATTTGTTGGTTTTGCTTCCAGCTTTGCTCCCATTTATTTCCTTTCCTCCATCCTCTTTGTGCCCAATTTCATGTTCCTTCTCTTTTACCTTTTCTTCCTATTCCTATTCCATCCTTTATTTCTTGTTTTCTATCTTTGCCTCAATCCTCTTCCTTGTCCTCCATCCCTAATAACCTTTCTTTGCCTTCCCTTTTTAATTCTGTTCCCCCGCCCCGTGAATCTTTTCCATTTTATCTTACTTTTGCATGGCTCCTTCTCCTTCTCCAAACCAAACCCATTGCCATCCAGTCAATGCCAAGTTGTAGCAGCCCTACAGAACAGAGCAGAACTGCTCAGAGGGTTTCCAAGGCTGTAAATCTTCACGGAAGCAGACTGCCACATTATTTTCCTGCAGAGTGACTGGCAGATTCAAATCCCTGATATTTCAGTTAACAGCCAAGCATTTAATGACTGTGTCACCAGAGATCCTTTCTCTTCCTCCACTCCTCCAAATATTCTCCCTCTTTTCTTTCTTCTCTCCCTCCCTGTGGGAGTTAAGATAGTTAACTTGGCAGCTGGATGCAGTTATTCCCCAAAATGAGACTGAATGTAGTGTAACCAACTTCATAGTAGAATCTGCTGTGAGTAGCTAATTTGCCTTCAGGATATGGCCTGCTTCCAGTATATAAAGAGACCGTTTGTTTTGAGAAAGGTTTCTAGATTCTTGGTACAACTGTCTGGAACCTACATTTGGCCAAGTCTTCATTCAACAGCTTGCCACGCTGCCTGCTGATTTGGAACTGTTTCTGCACTTGAACTAGTAGCTTGCTGTGTTGCTTGCTAATCTTGGGAATGTGTCATTTTGCTTATCAATCTTGGGTTCACCAGCCTCAGTAGCTAAAAGCTGTGTGAGTCAGAAAAAGCCTCCAGCTCTGGTTGGCCTAAAACAGGAGGCAGAACAGAATCACAAGGTTGAGGGGCTTTCACCCATCTTCTACAGCCAGCACTTTAAACTCGGACTTCTAGCCTCCTAAACTGTAGCAGAATAAATCCTTGTTTGTTAAGGCCATACATTTGTGGTATGTCTGTTATAGTGGCACTACCAAAACCAAACCAAACCCGCTGCCATTGAGTCAATTCCAACTCACAGTGACCCCACTGGGTTTTCAAGGCAGTAAATCTTTACAGAAGTAGATTGCCCCATCTTCCTTCCATCAAGCAGCTGGTGGGTTGAACCACCAGCCATCTAGTTAGCAGTCAAATGCCTTAGGCACTGTGCCACCAGAGCTCTTGCTATACAACATTCAAAAACCAAAACCAAACTCACTGCCATCGAGTTGATCTGACTCACAGTGACCTCTCCTTGGGTTTCCGAGGCAATATCACTACGGAAGTAGATTGCCCAATCTTCCCTCCGAGGAGTGGCTGGTGGGTTTGAACCTCTAGCCTTCTGGTTAGCAGTCAAATGCCTTAGGCACTACTCCAGCAGAGCTCCCTTCCTCTTACATTCTCTTTCCACTTTGCTGTCTCCCCCTCTCTTTCTTGGTGGTTACCCACTATTGTCTTAGCAGGAACACTTATAGTCATGTGTAGCATTAGACAGAAATTGAAGGCTGTCCTGGAAATTTGAATTTGACTTATCTTAGAGGCCACAGGCCACTCAGCTTTGGTGAAAACCCTGACTCAACCCTCTGATTATGTGTTTCTCCAGCCAGATGAAGTTAACCTAAAGGGCTTATCTTTCTCCTAGCTGGCTGGTGCAATGTGACTTGGTGTTCCGGGTTTGACCCCTTCCACCTTCTCAGCCAAGTTAAAAATCAATTAGAAAAGCTCCCATTTTCTGCACAGGTGAAGTCCAAGCAAGGCTATAATCACATTATGTATTATTTAATACAACTCCATTAATTTGCAAAGAGCTCTGGCTTTACTGCAAGATTCAAAATAAGTTTTCCTGAGAAATTGAAGCTGAGCAACTTCACTGTCCAACATAGTTATCTTTTAAGGCAGAAATGATTGTGAGGCTGAGCCCCTGCTTTCAACTTGAATTGGGAGATAAATATTCTAAGTTTAAATGAGTGTCCAGGAAAATGTGTTTGACTACTCCAGGAACCAGGCTTCTTAAGAAATAAAATGTCCTTGAATTAATCAGTAGAAAAGGCACAGCGCTGAATTATGAATTCCAACCATTAATATTCAGAGCCTTATTCCAGCATAATCAAGTACAGATAAGAAGTTATGCATAAAAACATAACAAGTGGAGGAAAATCCTAGGTAAAAATCTTTTTAGTTAGGGTCATTTGCTTTGAAATCATAGAAGCTCCTGATTTGCATGTCTTCTTTGCTGGCAGGAGTGCAAAGGGCAGTCTGAAACCCCATGCTACTCTAGTGGGAGCATGTAGCTTGGCCATAACCCATTGCCCTTGTGTCAGTTCCGACTCATAACGACCCTACAGGACAGGTAGAACTGCTCTGTAGGATTTCCAAGGCAATACATTGTTATGGAAGCTGACTGTCATATATTTCTCTTGTGGAGTGGCTGGTGGGTTTGAACTGCTGACCTTTTGGGTGGCTGCTGAGTGGTTCAACCACTGCACCACCAGGTCTCCTTATGTCGCTTGGCACGATTGTGAATAGGGGCCTTTTAGTTCCAATCCTGCACAGGGGCCAGGTGGCATCTGCCTTGCTAATAACTGGCAGGGAAGAATCATAAAGAAGGGGGGAAAGCTTAGTTCTGCAAGTGTTAGTAGCTGGTTCTAGAACAACTTGTGACTGAGGCCTGAGAAAGACATTGTCCTGCCTGCTGAGGTTTGCAGAATAGATTTGGTGTGACTGGTGATGCTAGCGATCATAATAGTCATAGCTTCCATTTGTGCTTTTCTAAATGCTTCCAATTGTATTTTCAAGCAACACTCGAAGACAGATAGAGCAGTTATTGTCCCTCCCATTTTAGGGATGGGAAAACTGAGGTTCATAAAGGTAAAGGCACTTGCCCAAGGTCATACGTCTCCTGTCTGGTTAAGCTAGGTGAAAATTTGGATCTTCAGGAATTTCTCTCAGCCATGCAGTTATCCTTATTCAGAGCAGTCTCAAGAAGAGATCCAGTAGATCAGTAATGCCTTCAAAGCCAAGTTATTTCTTCAGAAGGCTTGTGGATTTCCCTAGCTGTCCCTAGGTTGCTTTGGAAATCACCATCAACTCAGGGCTCAGAGGAATGCCCGTTTTGTGTAGGCCAGTAGGAAAGGTTTCTGACCGCCTTGTGTTGTTGATTCATTATCTGTCAGTACACAGAAAAGGCAAGGTGCTGCCTTTGCATAAGATGTGAAAGCACTTTATACTTTTTTGTTGTTTATGATCTGTGCTCTCATGACTATACTTAAAAAAAAAGACTGCACAAAAGCTCAGGGTTTTCTCTTTTTCTGGAGACATACAGTCTTTGGGGCAGGTTATTTAATATGGCACATTTGCTAATAGATCCTCATACATGAGAAGTTTGAGGTAGCCTGGGAGACATTTAGGCAATAGGAATACACAGCTTGATTGAGCAACTGTTTTGTGCAGTGAAATGTAATAAACTAAAAAGTCAGATTGGAAAATCTGAAGTCACTGCTTATAAATGTTGCTGTTTATAGGGCATCTATTATGTTAGGAAAGGAGCTCTGGTGGTGTAGTGCCTAAGGTATTCGACTGCTAACCAGAAGGTTGGTGGTTCAAACCCACAAGCCACTCTGCTAAAGGAAGACTGGGCAGTCTACGTTTACAAAGATGTACTGCCTTGGAAAACAGATGGGGGTTGCTATGAGTCAGAATCGACTCAATGACAGTGGGTTTGGTTTGGTTTTGGTTTATTATGTTAGGCAGGAGTCTTGGGTGGTGCAAATGATTAAACACTCATTAGCCGAAAAACCCATTGCCCTTGAATAAAGATTGGTGATTTGACCCCACACAGAGTTTCCTTGGAAGACAAGCCTTGTGATCGGCTTCCAAAAGGTCACAGACTTGACAACCCTATGGAGCAGCACTGCTCTGCACCCATGGGGTCGCCATGATCCAGAGTTGACACAATGGCAGCTAACAACAACACTTATGGTAGGCATTTAATGTATGTTATCTCTAGTCTTTGCAATAATCTTGCAAGCTTGATAACATGACCTAACATTTACACGGGAAACTAAGGCTAAGAGAAATTCAATGACTTGCCCACTAAATACTGAATTCAGATTTGAGCTCAGGTAGTTGAGCTCCCCAATGCTGTGCACTCTCACCAGGCACATTGCTTTCCCCAGCATTTTCATATGTTTTTATGATTAATTCAGGCTCACTTAACGTTGTTGTACTTATGTTTAAAGATATATTGAACACAGCAGTATGTTGTGAAGTACATTTACTTATTTCAAGTCATCTGGCCATAGTTATAATCACAGGTTTGAAGAACTGGAAGCAATATGAACCAGACTAATTCTTTACTTCAATAGCCAGCTGCACTCCACTCTTATTTATTACAAGGACACATTTATTCAGAGTAACAACCTCCCCCACAAGAACAAACTCCTAAACAAGCTTTGATTCTTAGAATTCATTAATGATATAGTGAGTATATAACAAACTAAGATGGATCTCTGAATGTTACGCTGGTGGTTTGAAAGCAAGCAGAGATGGGTTTTCCAATCTTCTAGTGCTCAAACTTCTACTAACAAGGAGCTTCATGGTGAATAAGTTGATACAGAGATGTGTTCCTTCAGGGTTAGACCCATACTCTTGCTCCACATTCCAGGGAAGTTGAGTTGCCTCTGCTGAGGCAGCACTGTGCAGAGAGAGCTAGGGCATTCTCAGAATTGACCACTCTGCCTCATCCATGGGAAGGGTTTAGACAAATAATCAGCTTAAATCAGTACTGTTCACATTGTGAAGTCTTTTTGGCCCATCCTCAAGTTCCTTCTCGCCTCCATAACTTCATGGATGATTCCAGAGGTCCTGAATGTCACCAAGCTTTCCTTTAAATGTCAGCTGGAAAGAACATCAAGCTTTTTTCCAAACAGAACTTTAAACCAGTTGCTATCAAGTTGACTTTGAGTCACGGTGATCCCATGTGTATCAGAATAGAACCATACTCTACAGGGTTTTTAATGGATGATTTTTCAGAAATAGATCTCAGCTTTTCTTCTGAGGTGACTCTGGGTGGACTCAAACCACCAACCTTTGAGTTAGCAGCCCAGGGCGATAACCATTTGTAAGCACCATCCAGTGACTCCAACAGCTCTTTAGAGACCTTTCATTTTGTCTGAACTAAGGCAAGCACACCACACATTCTTGTAGGCAGCAAATTCCACCTTATGCCTTGGTGTTCAGAGAGACTCTGGGAGAGCCACATTTTATTTAGCAGAGATGACGCTTGAATCACTCATTTTTTGTAGAACAACAGCTGCGATATGCCACCAAAATGTTCCAGGAAAGTGGAGGGTGTTTCATTTGTTCCAAGAGCTGGCAAGGCCCAATGCCAGCAAGCATATTAATTCCTCAAACTTTCATTTCTGCAATGCTTTGGCATTTTATTTTTCTTTATCACAGGCAAGATTTTATGCCTGATTTTTGTAGTAACTGAAACCTGTCCACCTTATAACTGTGTTTGTGCTCTTGAGGAGGACTTTTATAATATAGGAGCTCTGGTGGTGTAGTGGTTAAAGCGGTTTTGGCTGCTAACCCAAATGTCAGTGGTTTGAACCCATCAGTGGCTCTGTGGGAGACAGATGAGGCACACAGTTTGCTCCTGTAAAGGTTTATAGCCTTGGAAACCCTATGGGCAGTTCTACTCTGTCCTAGAGGGTCACCTTGAGTTGGAATCCACTTGATGGCAGTGGGTGGTGGGTGGTTGTATTATGAGATGTCTATCATCTATCTATCTAATTTATCTACCCACCAAAATGTCACCAGCCTTCTCAGCCTTGGAGTGATGGTACCTTTGATGACAGTGAGCATCAGTTGCCTGAGGTGATACACTAACAGTGCCAGGGGCTGCATTTTCAACTTTCATTAAAATCCTCTGTGCCTGAAGCCTTTAGGTTTGTGGCCTATGAGTCTCCTCTAATTTGCACAGTGAGGTTAAGTGGAAGGGCTAAAATGACGGAAGGTAGGGCTGCTTGTGGTATTAGAAGGATTAGAGGCCAACATCTGGCTATAATTCCATCCTGGCGGTAGATCAGCTACTTGACATTAGTGCAGTTTGAGGGGTGGGGAAAAGTATCACTTATGTTCAAATTTTTGGAAAGAATGTAGAACCAGCAACTTTTAATGATCAGGGCTTTAAAAAAGCTACAGCATTTCTTTTAGAGATCAGATTCAGAAATACCACCAACTGTGTTTATTGAAATATCCATTTGGAGATTCCAATTATACACTAAACTACCAAGGGAATTTTTGGAAATATTTTAACTTAATGATCAGACATTCAAATATATGCAACAAATGTGTAATTTAAAGGTCTGATTGCAATAATCAGTTCTTGGAATAAACGTACGCATACTTAATGAAATGTGCACTTTACAGTTGTACACACACTCACATATTGTGTGGTGAACTGGGTCTTTGTAGAAGGCGGAGGGGCTCAAAACTCACCCTGTGTGGTGATCAAAGAAGGAATTCTTAGCACATTTTCCTCTCTTCTAGGAAATGCTTAGATTTAGAGCAGTTGTTCTAAATGGAGGGTAACGTGTGGTTTTGCTCCCAGGGGACATTTAGCAATGTCTGGAGATGGTTTTGGTCATCACAACTGGGTGGGGGAACTACTGGCATCTAGAAGCCAGCAGTGGTGCTAACCATTCTACAATGCCTTGACAGGAAAAAAATGATCTTGCCCCAAATGTCACTAGTGCTGAGGATAAGAAACTTGATTTACAATGTGTGTGCATTGTGGGGAGGAGGCAGAGCAAGAGGCTCTGATTCAAGGTGGTTTAGTTTGGAGAATTTATGCTTCCAGACATTAACTTGGAGGTTAAAAGTACTTGTGAGCGATGATTCTATAGCAAAATCCATGTCTCCCTCCACCCTCAAACTGTAGTAATAAGTTCTTTTTCATTTGCATTTAAATAGTCAGAAAAAAATCTGGTTAAATATATATTTTTTGGATCCATTTCTTTACAAAAAAAAAATTATTGACAGGAAGGACATAGACATCAAGGGTCTGGTGGTGGAGCAAGATTGGGTGGTATTGCTCTGGGAACTGATTTGAGTTTTTTGACACCCTACAGGTAAGGGAATATATCCTAATGATCAGTATATATGAAAAGAGGCTCTTAAACCTAACTACCCGAGTAGAGATTATGGAAAAAGATACAATTTCCTACACTGAACTGGACTTTGAGCTGATCAAGATAGAAGTGAAGGAGATGGAAAAACTCATCATCCAGCTGAAGAAGAGTTTTGTTGGCAGCTCAGAAATTGTTAACCAACTGGAAGTGGAGGTAAGGAGGGAACTCACTTTTCAGTATATTAATAATAAATTCTTTTCTGTGAATGTGAGCAAGGGCTAGGCCCAAGATATAAATCTCTCTCTTTTGACTTCTAATTCTGCCCTTTCCCACACCCATGTGTCATACTGCCAAAGGGGCAAGGAGGCCTCAACTTCTGAGCTCCTTTAATCCCACAAGAGGAAGACAGAATCACAATCAGTAGCCCAAGGCCTATTCCTGTGAGGCCAGACATGCTGCCTCCCTCCAGTCCTTTCATCAACCCTGACACCAACCGTTCCTCCCACAGCACCCACCATCTTTCTGTTGGGTTCTAATTCACTGCAGTGGCCACACAGAACTCATAGATTATGAGGTTTAATAGGGAAGCGCCAGGCTACAATTCAAGTTCAAGAACAGCACTCAGTCTCTTTCAGCCCACCTTCTCTCAGCCAACATTCTCTCACAGTCTCTTTCCCAGCATCGCATGCCTCTCAGAAGTGCATGTCTCTCAGGAGTGCATTTCTCTCAGCAGCATGTCCTTCTCAGCCAGCAGTCAGAGAGACTTCTGCCTCTAGGAGGCCTCCTTTTGAGCTTGGCAGAGTGGCCAAACTAACCAACCATAACATCAGAATTCTAAGCACCTGAGAGAGAGCGAGCTTCCCAGAACATTGCTTTGTGCCACTCCAAACAGAAATACCCCAGGTGTGTAACTTTTACAATAAGGAGCTCCTCAATTGCTCACAGCAAATTCCACCACAGAGTTTACAAAGACTTATGGCTAGAAAAGCCATACCAGGTAATTTACTACACTGCACATACCTTGTGCTCTGCTGTGGATGAAAACCTACCTTTGAAGAGTAAGTCAAACACATTGGGAACATGTTGACTGAGGACTGTACTATACCATACCAGTGTCTGTCAAGTTGATTCTGACTCATGGTGACCTCATGTGTGTCAGAGTAGAGCTGCACTCCATAGGGTTTTCAATGGCTGATCTCTCAGAAGTAAGGTTGTCATGCCTTTCTTCTGAGGAACTCCTGGGTGGACTTGAACCTCCAGCTTTCGATTGGCAACCGAGCACTTTAATTGCTTGTCCCTCCCAGGGACTAAGGTGTAGGTGTTGTCTAATGGTCAGAATCCTGCCCCAGAAGCAAAGGGCCTTTCAACTTCTCTAGAAAGGAGATGACCTAACCTGAACAACCATTCATGGCCAAGACAAATTGGGGATCTCCTCTGCTCTAGATTATCCTCATGAAAGACTTCTTGTAGAAATCCACAATTTACCTGATTATAGACTTGCTAGCTCTGTTTTTTTTTCTTTTAAAAAATCATCTAATCCTTGATACCTCTTGGAACTGTTCTCCAAATACTTGAAACCCTCCCTAAAGGGATTTCTTGTGAGTATGTTTTGAAGAAACCCCTTAAGATCTATGGATGAAGACCACCCCATTAATAGCATGGTTGTGTAATTTATGGCAATGAGAATTTACCAACTCAATTATGACATGGGCTGTAATTGAGAATTCCAGTCACATATTTTAGAATTTAAATTTTCTGTGGCCCTCAGCATTTGATAGAAACTTAATTATAGCACAACATGAGTAAACATGAGTTTATAGGGGAAGGTTGTTAGAAATGAACTTTAATGGACATTTGTGGATGCATAGAATGAACCTGTGCTCTATTATTAAAGTCGTTAAAATCATTTCTTGCCATTTTCTTCTTGTCACACACACATCTGCCTGAGATCTGACAGGCGTTCACACTAAACCATAAAATGTATTCTTCCAAATGAAACTGACTGTTCAGGAGAATCTCTGATGTATTTGCTGGCAACGTTTCACTAAATGACAAATTCAACCCAGGAATGTTTATGAAAGAAATTGCACAATAATATAAAGTCACTCTGAATTTTTATTTCCTTAGATAAGGAATATGACCCTCCTGGTGCAGAAGCTCGAGACACTAGACAAAAACAATGTCCTTGCCATTCGCCGAGAAATCGTGGCACTGAAGAAAAGACTGAAGGAATGTGAGGCCTCCAAAGTGGAAAACACTCCTGTTGTCCCTCCTCCCGCTCCAGGTAAGAAGGACGATTTTGGGGGGAGGTGTCCTCCAAGGCGCTGAGCATGGGATGAGGAGGGGCTTCGGAGAAAGAAGAATGGGATATTTGCCATGCTGAGATTGTGCTCAAACTCCAAACTCCTTGCCATTGAGTTGGTTCCGACTCATAGCGACCCCCACTGGGTTTCTGAGGTGGTAAATCTTTACAGAAATAGATCACCCCATCTTCCTTCTACGGAGTGGCTGGGGGGTTTGAACTGCTAACCTTCTGGATAGCAGTCAAATGCCTTAGGCACTGCGTCATCAGAACTCCATGAGGTTGCTCTTAGGTGTTGTAAATCTCGGTTCATGGAGGAAAAGCACAGTGAGTTCATTTGAAACAAAAAGCACAGGTACACATATCTCTTAGCATTTAGTATCAAGAAACACATCTCTATGGTGATAGAGGAGCTATCTAGGGACTCAGGTGAACGCCTCTGGAATCAATGTGTGATATCTGATTTCCTGTGGATAGAAAGGGGTGATTGGCTTATTTATCTGATGAACTGAGCTTATTCCCTGAATTTTTCTTTTTTCTTTCTCTTCTTCCCTCTCTCCTTCTGCCTTTCTACTTTTTCCTTTATTCTTTCCCTAAATGTATACTGAGCACTTGCTATATTCTGTGTCAGGGTTCCTACTGGCCCTCATGGACTGTCTGTTCCTAAGTGGCAGAGATATTGTCTCTGATTTTTTTTTTGGAAGTAGATTGCCAGGACTTTTTTTCTAGATGCCTTGGAGTGGATTTGAGCCTCAACCTTTTGGTTAATGGCTGAACATGTTAATTATTTATCCCACTCAAAAAAAAAAAAAAAAAAAAAAAACCAAACCCATTGCCATTGAGTCGATTCCAACTCATAGACCTTCATTTCAGCTGAATGAGGACAGGATGATGAGTGAATCGACCTCAGGTTGGGTACAGCACAGAGGTGGGTGCTCAGTGCAGACACTCATAAATAGAAATAGGGATCCAGAGCATGGCTTTGGAACCTCAAAGACCTGAGCCATGTGACCAGGGAGCATTATCCTTAATCTCTTCATTTGTAAAATGGAAGAATAACGGAACCTATCTTGCAGGGTTGTTGTGAAGATTAATGAGACAGTGTTTGGAAATCTCAGAGCCTTATAATTGGCACATATGGTGGTTCAGCAGAATTCTCACCTTCCACGTAGGAGAACTGGGTTTGCTTTCCGGCCAATGCATCTCTAGTGCAGCCACCATCCATCCGTCAGTGCAGGCTTGTGTGATACAGAACAGGTTTCAATGGACCTTCCAGACTAAGAAGGCCTGGGCAGAAAGGTCCAGCAATTTACTTCTCGAAATCAGCCAGTGAAAACCTTATGAGTCACAGTGGTTTTGTTCCATTGTGCATGGGGTCACCATGAGTAGAGTGCTGACTTGAAGGCAGCTATCAATAACCACAACCATGTTATTAATGGTGACAGTAGAAGTGAAAACGCTGTAGTAAACAAAAAGCAGTGCTAGGTCCATATGGTCTGAGTGCAGTCTCCAGGGGAGCTGGGGGCAGCCTCTCAGCTACCGCATCCAGCCCTGTCCTTTAGCGAAGTCCGTCAGTCATCACAGGGAAGCTCTCTCTGTAGGTTGTGTGAGCCTCTCAGTCTGAACAGGGACTGTACCTTTTCATCCAATCATACAGCCCTTATTATTTTTATTAATTCCTATTGCTCACAATCTATTTCCTTTTAGATCGGGTGTTTCTGGATCTTGTCAATGTAGCTGTTTTCTTCAAGGCTTTAATTAGATGCGGCCATAGTTATGAGCCTCTTGGTGTTCAGGGGACCCTTTTCTCTTCCTGCTACAGTTGGGAATACCTTTTGGCCTGACATACAGAGGAGGTTTAGGACAAGTGCATGCTTCCTGTGTAACAAACTAAGGTCAAATTTGATTTGGGATTGGGGTTGGAAATGATAGCTGGTTCTTCTTTGCCATGAAGGACGAGAGGTGAAGCAAGGACCAGGATCCATTGCTGTTGAGTTGACTGTGACTTATGGTACCCCCATGTGTGTCAGAGTAGAACTGTGTTTTAGTGGCTGATTTTTGGGAAGTAGATCACCAGGTCTTTCTTCTGAGGTGCCTCTGGGTGGACTGCAACCTTCAACCTTTCAGTTATTAGTTGAGCCCATTAACTGTTTTTATCACCAGGGACTCTGAAGCAATGCAAATCCTGGACAATACCTGAGCAAATGATTCTTCTATGACCTCAGCAATTCTTCCTCACGAGATCTCTTTTTCTGGCACAGATTTCTGTCATCCCTTAGAGTGAGGAAATTTTAGAGCAGGAAGGAATATCCAGGACCATATAGCTTAGCCCTGTCATGTCACAGAGAAGGGGAATTAGACAATAAGAACACTGCTTTTCTTATGACCACACACAGCTGGGCTGGAATACAAGAACCATATTCCCTGGCTGTTGCTGGACCTAGAGTGTTGGACATACTATACCTACTGCCATTAAATTGATTCTGACTCATTGTGACCCTATGAGGTCAGGCATATGAATGAATGAGGGAGAAAATATACTGCTTGTAGTCCCTATTGTTGTTGTTGTTGTTATGTGCCGTTGAGTTGGACCCAACTCATAGCAACCTCTTCTTCAGTTTCTAGGCAGTAGCACTATGGAAGTAGATTGCCTAACCTTCCTTCTGAGGAGTGGGAGGAGAAGGAACCCAAATATTTTCTGTCTTTAATACCTGTGTCCACCACTTGTCTGTTAGTTTGTTATACTGTGGTGGCTTGCCTGTTGCTGTGTGGTGCAAATGGTTAACACACTCGGTTGCTAATTGAAAGGTTGGCAGTTCAAGTCCACCCAGAGGTGGCTTGGAAGAAAGGCCTGGAATTCCACTTCTAGAAATTAGCCATACAAACCCTATGGAGCACAGTTTTACTCAGGCACACATGGGATCACTCCGAGTCAGGGTCAACTTGATGACAACTGGTTTTGTAATCCAGGAGGAGAACAAAGGAAACTGTTGGATTAATTTTGTTGGATTTTTTTTTTCCCTGCTAAGAATTTTCCCCTAGGTCTTCACACTTAGACTTCTGTGAACTATCCCAGGCCAGTTGTGTTTTCTGAGCAAATTGGACCCAGATTTCCTTTCACTTTTCCACAACCTTGGCTGTACCTGAATCCCTGCCAAGCCACTTGGCCCTCTGCCAGCTTTGTTCATATGATATTTATGATGTTTATATTAAACTGACTTTTTGTCATGTTTTTAAATCAATTTCTTTCACATGCTCCTTTCTGTTTGAATTGGTTGATAGTGCAGAATTGGAAAATCCCCAAGCACCACCAAGTTGTGAGCCTGTGGAGACTTTAATTAAAGTTACTCACTATTATGGGACTTTAAAATCTGGCCTGTCTGCTTTTTCTCACTGCAGAGTTTGCACAGAACAAAATAGACTGTATGCAAGTCTCTGCTATAAAGTCGTTCTGTGCTCTCAGGGCCCCTTCCTTGTCACTGCAGTTTTCTAAGTTTGTGGTCTATTTATACTTAGAAGTAGTATTTACATTTAGGGTTCAGTAAAATGTTTTGTTTTTTGTTTTTGCTATAAATGACATTCTTCTCTGCTTCATTTAATACTTTATAAATCTAAAATAATCAGCTCCTACTCATTAGCTTTTTTTTTTTTCACTTAAAACAACTGGCTTCAGTCTCTCTGTTTTCCTTTGAATAGAAATGACTGCATGTAGGCAAAATGGGATGGGTACCCTCTGGGATTGATCACCATTAGCCTTAGGGATGCTGTGTTCTGTGCTGGCACATAGCAGGTGATTAGTAAATGGTGGTAATTGAATGGGGGTATGAAAGGCATAGATTGGCCCACTAACATGCCAAGTCTAGGGAAGAGTGGGAAGTTGAAGAGCATCTATCCCATAATTCAGATTCATGTACTCTTAATCACTTTCTGATTCTGATCATTTTAATTTGTCTAATTCTCACAAGTCTATATAGTAGTCTCCTCTCAGCTCAAATGGAGTTCACTGGTCCATGTGACAGAGCTAAGATTACATCTCCTCTGCAGGCATATGATATTTGGCTTTTGTTTATTTAGTGCTATCAGTCATGACACTTTTCAAAAGTTAAGGTAGAGTAGTTAAAAACCCTATTTCAATTACAGCTTCCCAAGATAATTTTAGAATCCTGTGGCAATATCTGTTGAATTCCATGATTGCCAACCAAGGCTACACTTGAGTAGATGGTTCCTTGCATTCTGTTCTGTGGAGTGAATACTCTGAAAAATTCAGATACATAGCAGGGCAGAGGGATGGTGCTTTATAAATAAGGGTAAGCTGGGTTTAATAATTGTCTTTTATTCCTTTATTCTACAAACATAATTTCATGGCCACTGTGGGACTAGCCTTGTTCTGAGTACAAGGGTAACCAGGATGGGTAAAGAAACCTCTAGAAATTACCATTCACACAAGGGAGACAGTCAAACCTCAGTTGTGATTATAATGATGATAACTAGTTAACCAAGGAGTTTTGGTAGTGTAGTGCATAAGGCATTTGCCTGCTAACCTGAAGGTTTGAGGTTCAAACCCACCAGCTCCTCCATGGGAGGAAGATGAGATTTACCACCATGGAACCCAATAGGTTCACTAAGAGTTGGAATCGACACAGCGACACTGGGTTTGTTTTTTAACTAACTAACCAGTTACCACTGAGTTGACTCTGACTCATGGTGACCCCCTGTGTGTCAGAGCAGAACTGTGCCCCACAGGGTTTCCAACCGTTGATTTTTCCAAAGTAGATCATCAGGCCTTTCTTGTGAGGCCCCTCTGTGTAAACTTGAACCTCCAAATTTCGTTTAGAGCCAAGCATGTTAACCATTTGCACTACCCAAGGACTCCATAGTCTCTCTATTCTTGTTAATAACCCTGCAGAATAGGTATTATTTGTTCTAACATGAGGAAACTGAGGCTCAGAGATGTTAAGTAACTTGCTCAAGTATACACAGCTAATAAGTGAAAGAGGCAGGATGTACCTGTGATTCTTGGGGTGAAAAAAGTTCCAATAACCCATCAACTTGATTAACAGCCATTATCATTACTCATGAAGTAGCTAAAAGGGTACTTTTGCTCTTGGTGGTTCTATGCTGTGACCTCTTCTGCCAGAAAATGCAAAATGCCTCATTGGTCTTTAGGAATCCTCGGATCATGGCTGGGCAATGGGTTGTAGTCCACAGTGTAACATAAAATTGCCTGAGCCCTGGGTCAGAAAGGGAATATAGTATCACTAACACCTGGAAATGAGGAAGAGGTTAGGAAGGCATGTTTGATAAGTGAAGGCAGAGAGTCACTCAGGGTAGATGGGATGAGGGTCGGGACCCTGGCTGCGCTAGCTGAGCAGTGCACAATGGCTGGCTGTCAGTTTCTGCATTGTTTCCAGGAAGGATTGATGCCAGGAGCTAGGAAAGCCCACACAGGCTTTTTACTGGTTTGTCATTGCTGTGTCCACACCTCTTGTGTCAGCAACAATACTTTATTATCTTTCCTATTCCTACTTCCTTTTGACCAATGCCGGTTGCTATGCAGTCGATTCTGACTCATGGCAATCCCATGCATGTCAGAGCAGAACTGCACTCCATAGGGTTTATAATGGCTGATTTTTTGGAAGCAAAAGCCAACCCTTGCTTCTGTGGTGCCTCTGAAAAGAACCAAACCTCCAACCTTTGGCTTAGCAGCTGAATGGGTTAATGTTTGCACCACCCAGTGACCCCTGACCATAGCCATGGCCCTAAAAATGACCCTCAGGGAATAGAAGGTGAAGATGGCATAACTAAAAGGACAGGAGCATGTTCAGGAATGATTGAGAGGTGAGGAAAAGAGATTTACATTTCATACACTTTAAATATTTATATGGGGTTCAATTTTAATTTCCTGTTCAACTTGTGAAACAATGAGTTTTTATTATTGTTATTAGCTGTTGTTGTGTGCCATCAAGTCAATTCCAACTCATAGAGACTATATGGGACAGAGTAGAACTGCCCCATCGGGCTTCCTAGGCTGTGATCTTTGCAGGAGCACACCTCCAGGTCTCTTCTCCCATAGAGCAGCTGATGGGTTTGAACTGCCAGCCAAGTGCTTAACTGTTGTATCACCAGAGCTCCTTTATTAGTAGTAGTGATTTTTAGAGTTTATTTTGGTTCTTTCATATCTAAGGATTTCTGCATCTAGAGACAGAATAGTTTATTATCTATATCCCATGATAATGCCTGAATAAGTTATATGCATCGTAAGTGTTCCTTAAATATTTTGCTGCTGTTGGTTTGGGATATTTCCTTTCCAATAAGGCAAGATTCAATTAAGCAAACAATTCCTAGGTCTTCCAACCTGAAAGAAAATAAGCTCTTTTCATTCATTTCCTCAGAGTGAAATGTGGTTGAATAAATAAGTCCTTGGAAAGATATTTTAACTAGTAAATCTAGTTTGTAGCATATGGAAACTAGAACAGTTTTTGTTATAGTTAAACTGAACACACCGCTAACTTTATTTTAATAATTCATGCATTGTTTCATAAACAAAAGCAAACAAGCATTCATCTGAGAGATCACTTTTAGGAGAAGAAATAATAATTTATAATTTTATTTATTATTTCTTTAGTGGAGAGCAGTCTCTTGGCTGAGCACACGTTGCTTTTTTATTTATGAAATGGCCCATGCATTATTAAAATAAACCCGAGACTGTGTTCTGCTTAATGATATGCAAAATTATTGGAGGATGGGTACAGAGTGCTTTCATTTCTCTACCTGTTGTATGGTTGGCTGGCTTTCCCACCAACTGCAGATTTATGAGAGCATTTAAGAAGCACGTATTTAATTCTGAAACCAAAAAGCCCCCAGCAGATTGGAAAAATAAAAGCAGGATTTCTAGTAATGGTTTCACCTCTGAGCAGTCCTTGAGTAAGCAGAGCAGAAGGCAAAGGCATTTACCAAGGAAGGTAATGGGTCTTTCTGTAGCAGTCAGAGGCAGAGACTCAGAGACAAAAGCTTTGCCTCCCTAACCCCCCAACAATGTTAATCTCAGGCAATTCTTTGGAGTCTGCTTTTGACTCCAGCTCACCTCATGAGCTTTCCATGGCTCCCTGATTCCCTCCAACATTTAAAACCTGATCCAGCCATTCAGTATCCACTTCCTCCTGCTTGCCCTCCTCTGCACTGCACTCCAAGCAGCAGGAAGAGAGAAAATGACCTCAAGTGTACTTGAGTTTGAATTTTCTTTGTTAGCCAATAAACCATCTCACAATTTTTTTTTTTCTTCTTTTTTTAAGTATTTTCCTTAAAACCAAACCCAACCCAAGGCTATCGGGTTGATTCTGACTCATAGACCTATCAGACAAAGTAGAACTGCCCCAACGGTTCCCAAGGCTGTAAATCTTTACAGAAGCAGATTGCCTCACCTTTCTCCCATGGAGTAGCTGGTGGATTCAAACCACTGACCTTTTGATTAGCAGCCCAATGCTTTAACCACTGCACCACTAGAGCTCCTAAGATCCTCAAAAATGTGTCTTCGACTCCATATACAGTTACTATAAAAATACTGGAGGAATGCTATTTTATTTTTTATAGCTCATAAACGGTTTGTGTTGGCAGGCATTGCGGAGGGAGAGTGAAGTGAAGGGCCATTTGCCCAGCCTGTCATTTTGCCAAGTGTTATGGGGAATATAGATTCAATGGGCCAGAGAAGCTGGGTCCCATTTGACTGTACACATCGTGGCGATGACAGTGCTAGAACGGGAAAGATGAAATACTTGCCTGTCATTCTATGGCACAGTAGGGTGTGGGTTATGTACAGCAGGATCCACTTTACCCACCTGTAATGAGCTATGCATTGGGCTCAGAATGGGCAATATTTCCATAAAATAATTTCCCGAGCCTCTTGTGGCTGATATTCCAGCATCTTTCAGGACCTGCAAGGCATTCTCATCTATATATTTAAAACTTAAGTTTCTTAGTGCTGTTGTAACAGAAATTCCACAAAAGTGTGGCTTCAAAGAACAGAAATTTATTTTCTCACTGTTCAGGAAGCTAAAAGTCTGAATTCAGGGTGTTGGCTCTGGGGGAAGACTCTCTCTGTCAGTTATTGGGGAGAGAAGATTCTCGTCTTTTTCAACTTCTGTAGCCCTGTTGTTCCTTGGTTCCTTGTCATGTAGAGGATCCTCACATGGGCTCTGTTTTCTCCAATACGTGTGCTTCTCTGTGTGTCAAATCTACTCCTTCAATAACTCAGAAGTGATTAGGTTTAGAACATAACCTGCACTGACACACTTCATTAACATAACAAAAACTCTATTCCCCAACAGGACTACCCAGTAACAGTATCTGCTTCCTCCTGTCTGCCCTCCCCTGCACTGCACTCCAAGCAGCAGAAAGAGAGAAAATGACCTCAAGTGTACTTGAATCTGAATTTTCTTTGTTAGCCGATAAACCATCTCACCAGTTTTTTTTTTTCTTCTTTTTTTAAGGATCTTCCTTAAAACCAAACCCATCTCAAGGCTATTTGGGTACAGTATTATATTTTGGGTACATATAGTATACCCAAACCAAACCCACTGCCATGGACTTGATTCCAACTCATAGGGAACTGCCTCATAGAGTTTCCAAGGCTGTAAATATTTACAGAAACAGATTGCCTCTTTTTTTTTTTTTTTTCCCTGCAAAACGACTCATGAGTTTGAACTGCTGAGCTTTTGGTTAGCAACCAAAGGCTTAAGCCACTATACCACCAGAGCTCTTTTTCAAAAGTCCAAATATAGAGGTTAGGATTCCAACATATATTTTGGGGAGACACAATTCAATCCATAACTACCTCCTTTTCTGAAATGAGCTTGGAGCAGGATTAGTGCCTGGTGTGACTATGTACTTGAGACCTCAGAGAAAGGCAGAAGGGGTCCAGGCATGGGGTCTGCCCAGGACAATCGTCTCCTTTATGACAATTTTCCCTGAGGCTGGCCTGTTAAGTAGAACCTTCTGGTTTTATAGAAATAGGGTAGGGTTCTGGGATGATCTTGCTTTTTTGATTTCTATGTAAGAAAAATGAAATAAGATAACATTTACAAAATGCTTTCTGATAGGAAAAATATATGAAATTTACCAAATCCCCCTTTCCTCACAGTGGGCCCTCAAACCTTTTTTATATAGCTCTTGTAGTTTCATTACCCTCATTTTCTATCTGGAAGCCCATCCTTAGAAACTGCAGATAGTTCTTGTGGGCATCCATAGAAGGTTCTCCTTGAAAGAAAGAGGAAGGTTTGGTTCTTCTCCATCAGAACATGTCATTGAACTTTGACAGGAAAAATATTGATTGATTCCTTGATTTCTCAGAAGAAACCCTGAGTGATGCAAATGGTTAATGCTCTTGGTTATTAACTGAAAGGTTGGAGGTTGGAGTCTACCCAGAGGTGCCTCAGAAGAAAGGCCTGGCAATCAAATTCCAAAAAATCAACCATTGAAAACCCTGTGGAGCACAGTTCTACTCGGACACACATGGGGTTGCATGAGTTGGAATAGGCTCAACAGCAGCTGGTTTTTTGCTTCTTAGGATGTTGAACAGTTTGTATCTTGTCATTTCATTTCTCTAAGAATGACTTATATATTTTCTCCTTTGTCTAGGGACCTGTGGTCATGGTGGTGTGGCAAACATCAGCAAGCCATCGGTGGTTCAGCTCAACTGGAGAGGGTTTTCCTATAAGTACGGGGCTTGGGGTCGGGATTACTCTCCTCACCATCCAGAGAAAGGGCTGTATTGGGTGGCACCTTTGAATACTGATGGGAGATATTTGGAATATTACAGTCTCTACAACACACTGGATGATTTGCTATTGTACACAAATGCCCAACAGAATCGGATTACTTATGGCCAAGGCAGTGGTATGGCAGTTTACAATAACAACATGTATTTAAACTGGCAAAACAGCCGAGACATTGTCAAACTTAACTTGACCACCAACACAATCAGTGTGAGACAAACTCTCCCTAATGCTGCCTTTAATAACCGTTTTTCATATGCTAATGTTGCATGGCAAGATATTGACTTTGCTGTGGATGAGAATGGGTTGTGGGTGATTTATTCAACTGAAGCCAACACTGGTAACATAGTGATTAGTAAACTCAACGACACCACACTTGAGGTACTAAACACTTGGCAGACCAAGCAGTATAAACCATCTGTTTCTAACGCCTTCATGGTATGTGGGGTTCTGTATGCCACTCGTACTCTGAACACCAGAGCAGAAGAGATTTTTTACTACTATGACACAAACACAGGGAATGAGGGCCAACTAAGCATTAAAATGCGTAAGATGCAGGAAAATGTGCAGAGCATTAACTATCATCCTTTTGACCAGAAACTTTTTGTCTATAATGATGGTTACCTTCTGAATTATGATGTTATCTTCCAGCAGAAACCCCAGTAAATTGTTACATGTTAGGGTGAGAGAGAGAGAGAGAAAAAAAAAAAAATGTTTGTTGAAAAACGCTCTTCTCCACTTATTTACTTATCTGCAAGGAGATCCAGGGGTATGCCTGCTTCATGGTAATATTTTTCATTTTCCAACTGAATTAAAGCTTCCAGGATGGGGTAGTCAGAGGTAAGACATTATGGATCTAATGAAGACTATAGCTGAAGTGATATCAAGAAATTAAAAAACTTGAAAGGAACTCAGTATGGGGATTCTTTGTATGAGAGAAAAGGCTCAAAGCCTGATTCTCCTCCAGGTAGCCTAACAAATTCTCCCATGGCTGAAAGGAACATTGGTTTTTAAACCAAAAGCAAATCCATTGCTGTTGAGTTGATTCTGACTCATAGCAAAGTTTTAGGATAGAGTAGACCTGCCACATAGGGTTTCTAGCACTGTAAATCTTTCTCCCACAGAATGTCTGGTGGATTTGAACCACCAAGCTTTTGGTCAGCAGCTGAATGCTTTACCACAAGAACTCCATAGGCATAATTGTTGTTGTTGTGTGCTGTCAAGTAGGCCCACTCATAGCAACCCCTCTTTGGGTTGCCGAGGCAGTATCACTACGGAAGTAGATTGCCTAACCTTCCCTCCGAGGAGTGGTTGGTGGGTTTGAACCTCCAGCCTTCTGGTTAGCAGTCAAGTCCCTTAGGCACTATGCTACCAGAGCTATAGGCATAATTAGATGGATTAATATCTGAAGTTCCTTTAGGGACCAAATCTGCAACACTTTTTTTTTTCTCATTAGTGCCTGAAGTGATGTTCTGTCTGTAGCATATAAGTAAATCTGGCATGCTTATATCTGTAAAATGCTCTGAATTTTCTGGAGAAAGGCCTTTTTACGTATTAAATTGTGCACTGAAAATCAACTCCAGATGGATCGACAGATGAGGCACTTGATTTTTCTTTCCTCCCATTGTCCATCTACACGTCAGTAGATCCTTCCTACCTCCTTCCTTCATTCCAAGGGCAGCTGGGAAGATTAGAACCAGACTTACCAACATTACCCTCTCCTTACCACCTGCTTCCACCCACTTCCAATTAACTTGTTTTCTGTGGAACAGCTACAAGATAATTTTTTTTTGTCTCTCATCATGAATTTTTATACTTACATGATTCTAAGACTAAGAAAATCACATGGCAATAGTAAAATGAATGATACCATTTTTGACTTGTATAATAAAGCCACTGTATTAATATAATAAAGCCACTTGCATTAAGTTGTATCAATTGTTTCATATAAATGTTTTATAGGCATAACTTTTTTTTCTTCAGTGAAGCCTGCAATTTATAAGAAAATGATTTTATCTCTGTTTTTCTAGGAAAGTAGAAAAGCCTTTGAAAGTGTCTAGCTTATCAGTTATATATAGTTGTGTGCCTCTTTCTGTGCTTTCTCGTCTGGTCTCTGCTCATCAGGCCTAGTCTATAGGAAGTTGCTGTTGTCAGTTGCAGTTGAGTTGGTTCTCACAGAGACCCTATGCATGCCAGATCGAAACACTGCCTGGTCCTGCCCCAGCCTCACAATACCTGCTGTAACTGAGCCCATTGTTGCAGCTGTTGTGTTGATCCATGGGATCCTTAAATGCTATACTCCTTTCCCTTTTAATAAATGACTAAAATATGCTTTGAATAGAGTGTTGTCTTTCCATTTTTCTCTTCCTCCTCCTTCTTTTTCTTCACCTTTTTATTCTTCTTCACTCTCTCCCTTCCCCTTCCCCTCCTCCTCCTCCTTTTTTAACTAATGACAGGGTAGTCTACATACAACCTTGCTGTTAGGTAGAGGGAGTGACTACATTCACAACACCAGTGCCCTGGTGATCTCATGCCTGGAAGCAGATAACATCACTAGTTAAGGAGTCCAAAGTCAGGGCCGGCTCTTTAGTTTTCATTTCCTTTTAAAATCCATTCTTCCTGGCAGCTATTCTCTTATGGCACATGTGTGACCTTGTGTGCTTATTAATTTGCATGACTGATCTGATTATTTTCAAAGTTAGACTGTATTTATGTGGCTATATTCCTTTTGCAATTGAGCTATTAACATAGGTCAGAAGCCTTGGATTGTCCCTGAACAGGACTTAGGCTGGAAGCAAAGGGGCTAACTGACCTTATCAGGGAGATTGGTATTTTTACCAAGTTATAAGAGAATGTGCAGAGGGATAGTTGACCTATAGGTTGGAAGGACTGATAGACTAGACTAGTGTAGTTAGTTAGTCTTTCTGAAAGGCTCAGTTTTAATCCATGTTAAACTTTTTGAGGCATGTCATAGCTACAATATTTAGTAATTTTAGCAGAATTTATCCTTCCAGTGCTGAGAATAGAGACAAGTGTGGCCTTCAAAGTACAACAAAATATGAAGATAAAGACATGTATGTCATGTGAGATATAGGTTAAAAACAATGATGTTGTATTTAATCTGACTTGAAGCAATTTTCTAGATAGATGTCTCTACCAAGAACACAGTATAACCTCTGAAGATTCTGGAAGGGAGGAAGGCAGCCAAGGTAACTCTAGCAATCAGCTTCTTACTGGAATGGCTGCAGAAGCTTTGTGCCTGAAAATCCACATCAGAACTTCCTTCCCACTGGACGGGGTGTATCTCTCTGCAGTGGCTGCCTGCAGGAAATCTCCCCACTGGGAAAGGTGAATGACGTAGGATTCAAGTTCGTGGGTTTACCGTAATGCAGTTGCACAATGGAAGTTTCAGCTCAAAAGTCATCAGCTCCCTTTGAAAATTTATATATATAATTAAAGCAGTTTTATTGAGGTATAATTTACGCATGGTAAAATTGGCCAAGTTTAACCTTACAATTCAATGAATTTTGACAAATTAGTCACGTGTAACTTCCACTACAATTATCATAGAGAACATTTCCATTATCCACAAAAAGTTCCGTTTTGCCCCTCTATTTGTTGTTGTTATTTGCCATCTATAGCCAACTCTTATTCCCACCCTCTAGCCCCAGCACCCACTGATTTGTTTTCTATCTGTAGAGTTGTGCTTTTTCCAAAGTGCCATAGGAATGGAATTCTACAGTATATAGACTTTGGAGTCTGATTCTTCAGCTTTCCTCTTGAAAAAGAGAACTCAAACCAAAAACCAAATTCACTGCTATTGAGTCAGATCCAACTCATAGCGACCCCTCCTTGGGTTTCCAAGGCAGTATCACTATGGAAATAGATTGCCCAATCTTCCTTCCAAGGAGTGGCTCGTGGGTTTGTACCACCAGCTTTCTGGTTAGCAGTCAAATGCCTTAGGCACTATGCCACCAGAGCTCCTGAAAAAGAGAATTAGGCACTCAATTTACCCTAAAGGGAAACTGGTCAGTGACAGTGGCTGTTGGTGTTCCCTGAATTATTTTTCATTTTTTAAATAGATTTTATTTTTTTAGATCCCCTTTAGGTTTACAAAAAAAAAAAAAAAAAAAAAAATGCACAGAAAAGATCCAGTCCCATGTACCTTCTACCCAGACCCCTCAATACACTATTTCTGCTATTATGAATATCTGGCATTCTTCTTCTTCTTCTTTTTTTCTTTTGACATCTTGTGTTCTTACAGTACTTTTTTTTTGTCACATTTGATGAACTGATTTTGATATATTATAACTAAAGTCTAGTTTACAAGAATAGATTTGAAACCTTGAAATTAATGACCAAAGACCAGATGAATCATGGGATGACATCAAGGACATCATACATGAAGAAAGGAAAAGGTCATTAAAAAGACAAGAAAGAAAACAAAGACCAAAATAGATATCAAAAGAGACTCTGAAACTTGATCTTGAATGTAGAGTAACTAAAGTGAAAGGAAGAAATGATGAAGTAAAAGAGTTGAACACAAAGGTTTCAAAGGGTGGTTTGAGAAGACAAAGCGAAGTATGTATAAAGACCTGGAGTTAGAAAATCAAAAGGGAAGAACACACTTGGCATTTCTCAAGCTAAAAGTACTGAAAAAAAAAAAGTTCAAGCCATGAGTTACAATGTAGAAATATTTTATTGGAAAAATATTGAATGACACGGGAAGCATCACAAGAAAATAGAAGGAATGCGTGATTGACTTTCAACCATTTCAGGAAGTAATGTATGATCAAGGACCAATGGTATTGAAAGAAGTCTAAGCTGCACTGAAGGCTTTGGCAAAAAACAAGGCTCCAGGAATTGGCAGAATACAAGTTGAGATGTTTCAACAAATGAATGCAATGCTGTAAGTGCTCACTTGTCTATGCCAAGAAATTTGGAAGACAGTTATTTGTCCAACTGACTGGAGGAGATCCATATTTGTGATCCAATAGAATGTGGAAATTATCAAAGAATATCATTAATATCACACTCAAGTAAAATTTTGCTGAAATAATTAAAAAATGATTGCAGACGTACATTACAGAGAACTACCAGAAATTCAAGTCAGAGAGATATCATTGCTGATAATCAGATGGATCTTGGCTAAAAGCGAAAAATATCAGAAAGATATTTATCTGTGTTTTATTGACTATGCAAAGGCATTTGACTGTGTGGATCATAACAAATTATGGATAATGTTGCAGAGAATGGGAATTCCAGAATACTTAATTATGCTCATGAGGAACCTGCACATAGATTAACAGGGAACAGAATAAGGAGATACTGCATGGTTCAAAATCAGGAAAGGTGTGCATCAGGATTTTGTCTTTTCACCATACTTATTTAATCTGCATGCTGAGCAAATAATCCCAGAAGCTGTACTGTATGAAGAAGAAAGTGGTATTAGGATTAGAGCAAGACTCATTAACAACTTGTGATATACAGATGCTATAACTTAGCTTGCTGAAAGTGAAGAAGACTTGAAGCACCTACTACAGTCTTCAGTATGGATTACATCTCAACATAAATAAAACAAAAGTTCTCACAAATGGACCAATAAGCAAGATCATGAAAAATGGAGAAAATATTGAAGTTGTCAAGGATTCATTTTACTTGGATCC